CCCCGAAAAAAAAAGATATAAAACCATGCTGATACAAACAGAGCCATTATAATTTATATAAGCTGTAGAATTTTCTCTTATTAAACTCAGTTACTTCCGGACTGTTTTGTATAAACAGCTCTATAAACAGATATCCAGCATTTTAACATGAAAGAAGTACCAGTGTTACTTCAAATTCAAAACTTCAAGAACAAGAAAAATCTCAGAAATGAGTGGAATACATAGCCAGTATATTTCAAGTGTACATCCTAAAAAAAAAAAAGGAATAAATAGATATTATTTAAAACATAAATCCTGATGAATTACCACAAGAGATTTTTCACAGAGGGGTTTTTTACTGTTGGCAAGACAAATCCAATAGGATAGCTGCTAAGAAAGCATTTAATAAAGGTCACACTTGAGCAGTCAGCAATTAAGTTTGCACATCTGATAGCTTTACAATACAGACTTGAGAACTGCATCGAACTACACACATTTACATGGCAATTGCTACAGTCAGGAGTTCAGGTTTTTTATGTTTTGTTTCAGGAAGCCAACAACCTTGTACAGAACCAGGAAATGTAAAGGTGCTCTTGCCATGGAAGGTTCTGCTGTTCCCTGCAATCGTATCCAGTAGATGGATGCTGGGCCCATACCAGACATTAACTTAAGAGCATCTCTCAAGAGAGTGACAGTAGAAACTGAATATTAGAGAAGATTCTTCAGTTAAAGCAAACTAAAGCACATGGTAACAGTTTAAACCTAAAACCTAAACCTAAATGCATCTCAACTGCCAAGGTGTAAGCCAGCTTCACTTTTTTGCACAACCAGCACAAAACAGAGCCAGCCCTCTAATAAAGAACAGAAGTAGCAGACTCAGTCTCATTGTCCATTTTCAGATTTATCTTAAACCACAACAAATAACAAATGCAGCAAGCAAAACAGAATCTGAACTGAGGCAAGTAAAACCAGGCACTGCCAGGGCAAATTTTTCTACTACTTGCTAACCTGGCACAACATTTCCACTAGAGCAGTAGTAGGCATCTCATTCTATCACTAAGAATTACAGGCTAAAAATCTGAAAAACCCAACACGTTCACTCTGGATACTCACAGCACTAAACAAAACAGAGCTTCAAGGTAGTGCAGCAGTACACAAGGCCTGTGGCACTTCACCGTAGTGTAGGACAGGAAACAGGTGGCCAAGGTTAGAGATAAACTACGTCCTGCAGTAGTTTGGCTTGAGCAATCCTGCTTGTTCATTCATTGCACAGCTGGGACGCAGATTACCAAGCACAGTTGGTGCAGGCCAACCAGCAATCACATGACTCCCTCTGCACTGACTCTTCAGTCAATACCGTGGCTTGCCTTGTTGTGGAAGACGACTAAGAAACACCATACTCTGTTTCTGCCATACATCTAACCCTATAACATCTGCACACAGCTTCATCTACTCCCTGTTCCTTTTTGTTCCAGTAAAGCTCTGCTCTGCTAGGAAAGGCATCTTGGGTTCTGTGATGCTTAGCTCAGATTTTAATCATGCCACGCATTCTTGCGTCTCTTGATTCTCTGACCTTTGTTTCTGCTTGCTCCTGTTCTCCCTTGCAGGTGCTCTAAGGATTTCTGGGGCCTCAGAGACCTGTTGCACAATATGCATCTTGCATGTTCCTTAGAAGTTAGTTCCACCCTGGAAGTAGTAGTGTGAACAGGCTAGTTCTCTGTCAAAGCCCATGCAGACATGGTTCTCCACCCTGAGAGTTCTTGTTGAACATTTTCCAATCATATTTCCAGACTGAGGCATTAGTAATTAACACAAACTAGTGAAAAGTATACCTCATTGAATAGTGTAGCCTGTACTTGCAGACTTTAACCAAATGTGGAAAGTGACCTACAGGTAGTAATAAACTAAACAGATGATCCATCCTGAGCAATTGCATTGGTACATCAAAGTGGGCTGCTGCTGTAATCACACTATCGTTATAAATATTGTACTGCATTGTAATTATTTTAGCAAAATAGCGAGTTACAGTGAAGTAACCTTCCAGGCCAGGCTGGATGAGGCTTTGAGTGGCCTGGTCTAGTGGAAGGTGTCCCTGCTCATGGCAGGGGTGTTGCAACTAGATGATCTTTAAGGCCCCTTCCAACCCATACCAGTCTATGATTCTATGAAATAGGAGATGATCTGCTACTATTCAGCACTGACATTATAAACTAAAGCACATAGCACCCGTTTCTTCAGTCTTACTTAAACAGATCACAGCGTTAACACAACTGTGCAAAGTATATCTGTAGAGGAGCCCTAGAACACCATATTTTGGTTTTGCCAATTCTTTATCAGCAATTTTCTGGCATGGGATATATTCCAGGAATATAGAAGTTCTTGTGATCTTTAAGAAGAAGGGAAACAGATTCAGGGAAATGATAAATACCCAATTTAATTAAAGTTATTTCAAAAACATGTGAACAAATTACTCCTCCTTGTCTGAGTCAACAGAGTAACGGCTAGGTAAGTAACATTCAAGGATCTGTCAAGAAGAAATTGCCTCTGATCTGGATATTGGAAAGAAAAATGAACTGTTCTCTTTCTGGTATGGGGTATTAGGGTGGTACACATCATGCATCTTGAGTTGAACAACTGTATCAGATATTACATAAAAGCTGGGAGAATGTAGTCTAAATAAAACCACTGCAAGACAGAGGGAAATTGTGCTCAAAGGAGTAATCAACTGTTCCCCGTCAGAGTGAAAAGAACTGCTACATTGGATTTCAAAAAGTAAGTAAAGGCCAGTCTCATGCAGCATGTTCGTAAATTATCTACAATAATTAAAGAGCATGGTTATTAAATTTGCAGATGACATCTGCCTGAAAAATGCTGCCAACTTGTTGGAGGACAGGGTTAACAAATAGAGCAAAATTAGAGAAATGCCTTAATGCAGAAATAAACCTGCCAGGCAACAAGTTCTGACACTTGGGTAGGAATAAACAATACGGGATGGGAAAAAGCGGTCTAAGTAACAGCTCTAAGATCAAATCTGATAAATAGTAGACAAAGAAGGGCGGAAGAAAAAGGAGAAATTATGACTGTAATCTGAACATGTTAACAATATCAAGCTGTGATGGCAAAAAGTGTCATAGTATGATGTGTAACCACAAACAGAGCATGCAAAGTGGATGAAAAAAACCCCAATCTTACTGCTGCTCTTCTCAGTTTTGGTAAGAGTTGTAGTCTGACTGTCACGTCTAGTTTCTCTAGACAGATCTAGTCCACTTAGTGAGAGCTCATGAAAGAGCAAGAAAAACAATGAGCACATTATAAAGAAGGGAAGACTGCAGGAGCTGGGGTTGCCTAATATACCAAAGACTACAGGGAGATTCAGCCAACATGCTTTGCATATATAAAGGTTAGGTGCCGTAAGTAAGAAAGCAAAAACTTCTCCGTATTAGTGGTGGTCTTGGAACAGTGGACACAACATTCCTCATAGGGAATTTCCTTCAGATATTAGGGCTTTCTAGCAGGACAGGTAGTTAGAAGCTGGTTGGTCTGCATAAAAATGTGAAATCTCCTTCTTTTATTATTTTTTTAAATAAGCAAGTTAGACAATAACTGTCAGAAGTGATTTACAAGCAGGTGACCTTGCTTTGGGTAGAACAATGATTGGGTAGTTTTAGCATGATGCTTCCATGTGATATTGGTGCTTCAAATATTGCCATACATATTTTTTAAGATTTTAATATGGCAGAAATAGAAAAATAAGTATTCAGAAAATGTCCAAAGTTATTTGGAAACAAACTTTGAAGCACATACTTAGCTTACATTGCAGCACAGAAATGTAATGTTTACTTGCAAAATTCCATTTAGCCGAAATAAAAAACCCCAAACTTCCCCAACTATTTGTATCCCGGTCCCGATTTCTACATAATGTTCTTGCAATTAACCATCAGTTTAGCAGTAAACAAGTCATTTGATTTACAGAACCTTTTTTTCTGTATTTCCTTCAAACCTATGAAGTGATTGGAAGATGACATTTTTATGTAAACTGATGACTTTAAAGAATAATTCTTCTAAAAAAAATGCTTCACAGCTTCATGAGTATCTGTTCCATAAAGAATATTCCAAGACATATTTTATATTCAAGTAAGACAGAACATTTATGAAAACATGAAGTTTATCATCTGAACAAAAAAAAAAAAAATACTAACTATAAAATCACTTAGCTTTAATAAAATCCTTTGATATTTTTACTGTTACAGGAATGCAGAAACAAACATTTCAGATTCTCTTTCATGCCAAATGGGAGCATTTAGGAAAAGTTTTCTTTTTCACTTGCCTGGAGTAAGTTAGGGTAAACATACATTTTGAAAATTACTGTGTGTTGCTATATACCAATATTGTCTTTCGGATTATATTAAGCAGTAGCACCATCTACTGGTCCAGAAGATCCTTTCAAACTTTAGAGAAAGCTGTGGAGAGTGATCCAGCCAAAATTATGCAAAACGCTACTGAGAGTAACACGTAGTTTTTCAGTCCCTGGAGAGCCAAAGGGAGAGAAAAAGAAAAACACCATGTTGTCATAATAGGTACCACTTCACAAAAAAGAAAAAGAAGTAAAATAAAAAACTAGGGTATCATTTTATGAGAAAAGTAATAAATCCATTACATTAAATGGAAAATTTTATACCCTTTTATTTCATACAATGTTTGTGACATATTTGCTGTTCAAAACAGTTTAATACAAGTAATCCATGATGCTATACACATATTCACAAAATTAATACAGCAATTTTTATAAGTACTTTTAAAGACCTTTGTTTATATACAGATTATTTTAAAGCAGTAAGCAGTTATGCAGAGAGTATTTTAAAATGTATGAAAAGGATGAAAGATCTGCTGAGTCACAAAGATTTGGATAATGAACATGATGGTCTTCTAGTGTGGTGCAACATTAATCTGCAGTGGGAGGGAGAGAACGTCTAGCTCCTGATCCAAGGATGCCCAACACATTTTACACAGTCACAAAAAATATTAGGAAAAATAATGTCGAATGGCAAATTAGGTACCTAGGGATCCTGGACAGATTAGCCAAGGGAATCTGAGGATTGCACTGCCAGCATTCAGTGTTTCAAATTCCACTAGAACAACTTCTGCCATATATGCTAAAATCCAGTAGAGTAAATTAGCCTGTTCTAGGCAGTCACTGCCATATCAGTTTAGGACCTGTACATTATACTGTAATTAACAAGGCCAGCTAACCTCTGTCTCATTTTTTGGTCCTTTGGTGAACCTGACCCTAAAAGTCTAATCTACTTGTCTATGTGATTATTAAGACAACTGCTCATTCCCCTGCCCACACTGAAAAAACTGGCTCAAAGAATGTTTTCAGGCTGGGCTTGGTATCCTGCCTCCTGGCGCTGCTACAGTCTTCATTTACTCCCTCTGCTGCTCACACAGTTATGGAATTCAAATCTTAATGCCTGTAAAAATTTTTCACAGATCTTCACTTTTCTTGGGAAATTTAGTATTGCCTCAGCAATACTAAATTCAGCTTCATAATGCAATACTTGAAAGGAGGAAAAATTTAAGAGATACAGCTGTATATCAAGTCATGCGCTTCCTAGAGCTACAGACAAGCAAGAGAGACTAGGTAAGAGACCTAACAAGATTACCTTGATTTCTTTAAATACAAGGACTCCCCACATTGCAGCAACAAGGCCAGGACCCTAAAGAATAAGATTAATTTGTACATTACAGCATTTCATTAAAATGTACTGCCTTCCTATTATTGTTCTCAGGGTGGTTGAATTTTATCTGGATAAGAAATTTAGGCTTTCCCATTCCATATAATTACAGCACTCAAAGCAAAAGCATAATCACTGAAATCTTTACAAAGTAAGACAATAAAATCTTCAAGAAAGGCTAAAGAGGCAAGAGACTGGTTTTTTTCAGAGAAAGCCCAATTTCTTTCTAAATTACACTATGGAGTCTGTACTAGCTGTTATATGTTGTTTTAGTAAGCTCCAAATAATATGCCTCACTTTAGTCCAAACTACAGTCCACAGTGTTACCACATTTCAGAGAACTATTCAGGTTTATTGGCAGCTACCATGGATATTCATAACATTTCCTTTATTAACATGACTTAACTAGTTGGACAAAATTTGATTTTATCACTCAATATGATATCAAGAGACTAGAACATAAATACATTTCCTGTATGGCAGGCATCTGGACAAAGCACAAATCCAGCCAGAAAGACAGGTCAGGAAAACTACTGATTGTCTGTGATGTTGTTGTACAGATTCCTTAGCTAACAGCACACAACGATAATTTCCAGGCACTCCTGGTAATAAAGTTTTTCCCCTGTGGGAGGAATGATCTGAATTTTCATGACTGATAAGAAAATATTATCTGAATATGAAGTGAAAACTGCCTCTGTTAATGCTTCCTGTTAGAGCTGTTCTCAGAAACACTTGACAGATGTTGGGACAGTGATCTTCCTATCTCCATCTTCAATACAGCTGATAGGACACAGATTTAGGTCATCAGGAAACAGTGTCTCATGCTGAATGTATTTGTGAGTGCTGTTTCCTAGTGAAATTGCCAACTATTATTTGAATATTAGCTGAGTTGTTATTTCACTTTCTAGATAATTTACACTGCGAGAGGAATGCATTTTAAAATGAAACAAATTGTTAAAGGGATGTGATGAATAGCTGTCTGAAATTCTCCACAGGATGAAGGAAAGCAGCAGTTCTGAATCTGTGGTCCATACAGGCAGTTTCTCATCAGTGCTGTCCTTAAATTTGTAATTCATTATTTTATACCCTTGCCCTTTAGGCATACTGATAACTAAGTTACTAAAGCTGCTTTCCATTAATCCTTCAATTTCTAATTAGAATGGTCCCAAGTCTTTTCTTTCATTGCGTACTGCACAGTTTATTCTGATTTACTGCATCTCGAGGCAAGGCTTAATCCCTATTAATGTTGTTTCATTTGTTTGCTTCCAAAATACAGCTGTTCAGCAAAACTTTGTTTTTGATATTTATGAACTCTCATTTGCCAAAAGTTACCCACCTTTGCAGCACCATCTAGCAGACTGGCAAGGGACTAAAGGCAAAGTTTATTTTGAGTGATGGAATTTATGCAGCTTCTGGAAATTAACAGTGCTTTAAAGGTACAGTATCATAAATACGAATGAAACAGACAAAATGGGCAAACCTATTTTTCCCTCATTTGCATAAGACTATTATTTTCAGCAATACATAATCTGTTCTACGTGTTCAAGAACTGAAAAAAGAAAAAATACCTGATTTAATTAAGCAAAAGGACTGCTAGAGGATAAAAATCACAAATGAAAACATCCAGAACAAAATGTATTTGCTGGGTTGAAATCATAAAATGTTTCTTCTTTTAATCACTTCAGTTTACTGTTTCATATTTTATAGTTCTGGTTACAGAGCTTTCGCTTTTACATAACCTAAAAGACTCACACTTCCAATTCTTCTGTTTTTTTATGCTTGGCATTGACCAAGATGGTGCTTGTCAGTGCCATGTATGCTCCTAAGAAATCAAAGGCTAGCACAGACAAGCACAAGAAGCAGCAACGTATACTCTTCATTAAAATGCTCTAGATACATCGTAGTTTCAACTTAATTCCACAAATAGGGGAAAAAAAACCCCTTTCACTTTTAATTCTAGTAGTAGATTTTATTTTTTTATATACTTACTGCAGTAATTATTGGAAAGCTGACCACAGCACTGAGATAGTGATTGGCTATAAACCAGCAGCAATTGGCTATTGCCCAAAGCACACCAGAAACAAACCCTAGAAAAATAAATCTCAATCAAAAACACGTACGGCAAAGTATAGACAACAATTTGTGGAACATTTATATTTACAGCATAATACAGACACTGTATGTATGTAACAATCTGGCTCTGATAGTCTAAACCAATGCTCAAGGGGTAAAATCAGCTACTCCAACTACAGTAGCAAATTAACTGAAGTTCACAATTTTATGAGCAATGTGCTCTCCACTCTGGCAGAGTCAGTTTCTGAAAATTCACCATATGCAATGCCATTTTTTTCTCATTTCAGATTAGAACAAAACATATCATTGTTTCCTAACCTTAATTTATTAACCTAATAGGACTGGTCTTTCAAAACAGACAAAAAATGAAATGAAGAGACTTGAAAGGCAAACTACAACTCACAGCTTGAACTAATCACTACAAAACAGACAAAAGAGTAACTGAAATTAATTGCTAATTTAAAAAACAGTCATACCTGGCAATATGGCTTGGGGATAAACATTAGGTTTATTTTTCCTGACTGCACAGTAGATCAAAAAGTAGACTGTACTTGTAAGAAATATTCCACTGAAGTGTGCAAAAACATAATCTAAATCTGAAAGAGAAATTACAAAATTATATTAGTCTAAAATATCAGTTATTTTAATTAAATTTATTTCACTGATAGCATTCACACAGACAACACATGTAAGGTGCTACCGCTAACAACTCAACTTCAGCTGTGATTGTGATGAACACAGCTGCCAGTCTGACTGTGGATGGATTTGGTCAATCACACATAAATTAAACATGAATGAACTGCTGCATTGACCCTAGCACTTATCACAAGCTTTTATGCATTTCTGTTGAGTTGTTATTTTCAAAACTTTATTAGTCAAACTACTGAATTAATTTATTAAAAACTGAAAAAAATCCTCAAGTGAAGATACAAAACTGAGGTGGGGATTTTACATAATTACATCCCCTCCTGATCATCTCTATTTGTATTCCTGTATACAGCCTTGTTCCTTTTCTGTACATTGAAGGGCAAGACAATTACTTGTACCAGGTAAGCTAAACATGGTAGTTTTGTCCTTTTTTTATCTTGAAGCATGTATCAGAAGTGTCATCACTAAAATCATTAACAGTAATAAATCCTTTATGGACTTGGTATGTGTTAAAGAGGGTATAAAGCAGAAGCATGTAGCAAGGTGATCTCTGTCTCCTTGGAGCTGTAAATCCTCCATAGGAAAGGCAACTATAGTAATGGTAACATCTGTTTTGTCTAGCTGGGGAATATATAAGTTGCAATATTTGAGAGAAATTGTATGTGACATAAAAAAGAATTTCTTAAAGGCAATATTATGCAGTCACAGCAATACACTGCTCTTCAGCTGCTGCTGGTATTACCTGACAGACTATACACTAAATCTTAAGGAAAATATTTCTGGGGAGATGTTTGAAATTGGCAATTAGGCTTATGTTAAAAGGTTTTCATTTCAAAAACTACAAGGTTTTAATTACTTATATTGTTATGTATCTCTTCTGCTCATCACTTATGAACAACCGTCTCTTCTTCCATTACTGGTGTACTAAACTGGTAATTGGTCCAGCTTGTGCCCTTGTTTACCTCATGTTCCAGGCATATGAGCTTTGTATTTTAAGAGCACTAGCTATGTTACAGAAGGCATTAAATATTATGAGTTAAGTATGGTACCCCCAGGGCCGTTTCTTGCTGTTCTTTTAATGGTGTAATTCACCTCTAGGAAAAAAGGAGTGCTAGTACTATGGTTATGACAATACATAACATAATGCAGAACTGATAAGATGTCATGGTATATTTCCAGGTGTATCAAGAATTTCACTCTATGCCTTTACAAAAGCAGGACACCACACTATGAAATAAAGTAGAAATAATCTATTAGCCTCTACCAAATTGGCTTGCTCCTGTATATATAGTTTCATTTCTTCTTCCATGGTCTTTGATGTAAAGTACTGGTACAAAACTGGAACCGTAGAGTATTCCAGCTACCACAGCCAGGCTACATCCTCTTTAAAAAGAGCAAAAATCAGAAAAAATAGCCCAGTGTTAATTAGAGAAATAGACAATACACTTAAGATAAGTCAAATACTGCAGTTAAAGATCGTATATCATATGAAAATTCCTAGCTACCCTACAAAAATAATACATTTTAGCACATTTTTTTTTCTAGTGTAGAAAAAGTTCAATGCAGTAACTTAATTTTCCTATACTTCATGACCAAGTAACACACGCACAACTCCTGCCCTAAGACACTGCAGTTTAGATTAATGACAAAAGAAATCAACTAACTAGGATTTCCTAAAAGCAGACCTAGGAGAAAACCAACAAAAGTATAATTAAAATGCTCTCACCCTCAGCTTCATCACTGCTGTCTATATATTCTTTGCAACTATTCTGAGGTTTATTACTGTTTCAGTCCCCTGCTTCCCCACCTCCAGATCACTGTGGTTTTGGCTGTCTCCACTCCCTACGTTGGCCCCTCACTAGCTGCTGCTTCCACCTGAGAGCACTTCTGCTGTCTCCTTACCACACTGCTGTGACTCTTCCAGATGTATTCACTTGGAAATCACACCTGGAAGCATGATATTAGCATAGGCTCCTTCTATGCTGGAGTGCTAATCAACCAGGTGACAAAAAAAACCCAACTCTCTGTAATTACTCAGTTGCTATTGGCATTTACTTTGTAAATGTTGTTCTTTTGTAGTAGTAACTAACACTTACTTGATAAGGTAAAGCATACTCAACAGTGCGAAAGAAGTAAGTTAAGCAGCTATTCATATATAGATATGTACACCATACTAGTACATTAAAAACTGTTATTAGTACAGGACGGCGCTAGGAAAACCACAGGATAAATTCTGCTCTTACTCTGTGTTCAACTACTTTCTCTGGCTTCTTGGTCTGCAGCGGTGAAAGAACTGTTGATAACTTACATGAGTCTTTTATTTGCTGGAGAAAGTCTGTTCACCCATGAGTCATCAGAAGTATCTTCAGAAACATTAATAGACTGCAAAAAACCAAGAGTTTTCAATTAGCTTTTTTTTTAAAAAAAAACCAACCAACAAAACAACGTTGTATTAAACTGAACAGTTTTGGTCTAAGAAAATTAAATTAAAATGGAAGGAGAAACAACAGGAATTTACAGAAATACTCCAAAGAAAGAAGATACATGTATTTTTTTAAATAACACAATAATAATTGGATCTAGCTACCTCAAAGTTTACATGTACAAGTTTGGATATGGATTTGGGACTTACTACCTAATAGAGCACTCACTACCATTTTTTTAGATCTGCATTCACAGGTAGATCCAACTTTCAAAACTCAGCCTTACTTAAATTTGATGAATTATTTAATCCATAGATTTTATTTATGATGTGTTTTTGCCTTCTGTTGATAAGTCTGGTGTTACTATCAGAATATGAGGACTATTTGCAAACAGGGAACACCCCTGTTTGCACCATAAAGAAATTGCAACATCCCTTTATTCTAATCCTACAACCAGATTGTCTTCTGTGACTCTTGACAGTCTCCTGGCTCTGTAATGTGGCAAAAATCTGGTGGATAAGAGTTATACACCCTGTTGCCTTTCGTCTAAGCACCTTCCTAATTTTATAGTTAATTTTAATCAAAATTGCTTCCTCTTCTCAGATAGCAAAGAAAAACACTCTGCCTTTTATACAACCTGTGCCATAATGAAAAAGGACTTCTAGAGCCACTTAAAGCCGACAATACAGAAAGAACGCTTGGGGAAACCTTTTCTGTTGCTCCCATTTGACTGGATATACAAGATTGACAAATTAAAGACAATCAATGCATATTTATGTAGTTTTACATAGTCCACCACAAATCCTAGCAAATCTGGATAACATTAAGCAAATTTTTTTGTTTTGAATGGATACATACTTTCACTGCTGTAAAATAACAACTGTAGAGTACTTACACTTTCTCTCAGTAAAGGCGTGCTTTCTAACGACGCCGAAGAACTCTGGACTTCCGTTTTTATAAAAAGAAATATGACAGCACTCAGAAGAGAAAAATACACCAATAAATACCATGTCAGCTCATAAGGACATAACATTTAGTGTCCAGAGAGAAAAGCTGTATTTGAAGGCATATTATTTTATTTTCATTATTGCCCTAGAGTCACTTCAGTATATTTTAAAAATGCAATTGCTTTTAAGAGTCTTAACAAGCAACTTAAGTGAAAGTAAGTAAATGAATTAGTCTTTGTATCACTTTACAGATCTCTCTTCTGTGTAATGGGATTGAAGTGTCTCCTTTTTACAGTGTGTAGTTACAACCACATGTTAACAATAGTTGCTTTAGTTAACAGTGCTCTTTTGTACTAAACCACACATACAGTGGAACATCTGCATGAAAATTCTATACGGAATAGCTTAAACCCACACAAAGTTGGCTCTGTGCTCAAGAAAAAAAGTTAGGTTATCAGTCTTCTATCATACATGAGTGAGAGAATACTGCTCTTCCAGGGCCTCATGCCTATGTGGAAGGAGAAGGGGTGCTGCTCAGTGGTGCTCCAGTGCACTAAGTGAATAAAATGAAGAAGAAAGGGTAACATTACTACTTGTACCCCCCAGCTCCAGGAAATCAGGTAAATACATGTCATCAGAAGTGGCAGGTTCTGTTTTTTATGAAACATATTTTAATGATTTAGGAATTCCTTCTATAACTGTGAACAGAATGTCTCCATTTGAAGAGTAACTCATCTCCTACTGAAGGAATAAGGATAGATATAAAGAGATGTCAGCTTCCTCCAGAGGGATTAGACAACCATATACAGGCTAAAATGAAATACATGTTTCTGAGCTCTGCAAAGCAACATACTCAGGCTTTATGCAGCTTGCCAGGAAAACATGTTTGGTTACGAACTTTTTTCCCTGTTGATCACTTCTCCATGATATCTCAGAAACAGGCAGGAAGCAGGTGGTAAACTGAATGAATTAATCAGGCAGGAATAGCAGTACTGCTACTATTTTGTGAGTATCTCACAAAATCACATGCTCCATGTAGCAGTTATAAGTAAGAAGCTGAAGACTCTTAGGAAAGAAGAAGAGTGGAAGCAAATTTCATTAATCTTAGGCAGGAGCTCTCTCCTAGCAATCAAGAATGGCTCCATCATCTTCATTTTCATAACACCCTTCTTTCCTAAAGGCATTATGTGCATCTGCTGCTTAGCATGCTTAATGGCAAGCCTACTGCACTGAGATTTAGGGCCACCATTATGTTCCTAAGAAGACCTTCCTGGCCACCTAGTTGGAAAGCAAGAACACTCCTACATGACAAAGACTCTCCTTCCTCTGTGTTTGGACCAAAATGTGCACTCATACAAATAATAATTTAAAAAAAGAAGAAAAAAAAAAGAAAAAGAGCAGAAGTCTTGAAGATCCCAAAAGAAACCACTGTTTGGGAGTTGCTGCAAGTGTGGCTTAAGAGTTACAATACAGGGAGCTATTAAGGACAAGAGATGATGCAAAGCCCCTAGCTTTTCATGGACCCTGACGGATCTCAAAAGGGGTCCTGTGGCATATTCTGCAGTTAAGAGGAACAGTTTGTACCCCTGGCTGAGTGACATCAGATTGAAAATCTCACAGAGTTTTTCTCACCAAGATTTTTCTAGTTAGTTTTAACTCTCTTACAAAATTTGGAGAAAGTGAACCATCTGAATAACCTGGCTAGGGAGACAACCAGTGCATCAGTGCTTTGCCTTGAACATGCCTACCAGAACAAAAATATATGCCTATGCTTATGAATAACCATTTCACCACCACACTGGATACCACCTCTGTTTCTATTCTGAAATACAACAGCAACCAGCTAAGTATGGATAGTTCATGAATTCTGCAGTAAATCAATTAGCAAAAAATTGTTCAGTACATTTGCCCTCAGTTAAACTGTCCCTATGGTTATTAAATATATACTTTAAATTACAGAAATTTATTATAAGAATAAATTTTTACCTTAATAGTGAAAGTCCAGCTCCAATATAATTTAAGATTGGTCTTGACACCTCTTCTGGGTCAATTCCAAACCAACCAAACCTGGAATATTTAGCCAGTTTCACTGAGTTGCACTGACTGCATATAAATAGTTAAATTATAACCCAGTCTTGGAAATCTTTACTCATGCAAGTAATTCTGTTTAAGTTTATATTTGCCATATTGGATTAGTGCTTCAGCTGGCTTGCAAAAAGCTACATCTACATTAGAAAAAAAAATAAATCTTTAACCTTATTTATTTATTTATTTTTTAATCTGGGTATTCAAAAATTGAAGTTAATTTAAATTATTTTACCAGCCCATGCTGCAGAAGAATATATAAGCAATACAAACTGTACTAGTTCTACGTTAACAAATACGTTATTTATTCACTCAATTAAGTTAATGAACTTCACTGGGCATTTTTCCTTCCACTGAGACAGAGGAAAAACAAAAAGATAAAATAATTAACCACAGTACTTTCCACTGAGAAGGAAAAAAGATCTTATATATGAGAAATCCTCTTTATTGGTGACAGTGTTTGCACTGCAGTTATTAATGAAGAATTGTCTATGTTAATTCTGTATGACTTAAAGAGTTAAACATACTCACCTTGAACTTGCCCAACCTGTCAGCAAATTAAAAGAAGCCCATATCAAAAGACCAAGAGCCAAGCCAATGGTTTTAACAATAGGGACAACTGTAACATTTCCTGAAATACAAAAAAACAAAATTAAAATCAGTTAAAAACTAGACGATGACCTTGCATATTTTTGCTTTAGATTCTGTGACTGTTCAGAAAGCAAAGAAATTCAGGCAACTACAACTTGGGAGGGAACAGTGTTTTTTAAAAATAAATATATTAAACATAGACTTTTTCTCATACCATTTTTAGAGTTATTTTTGGTGTGAATTTGCTGCTTATCAAATAAGCATAATAAAATAATATTTGCTATAAGGGTAAAGCTTCATCAACACAAAGACTAAAAAAAGACAAACAACTACCAAATAACTACTAAACTATATAAGGAAATGTTTTTGTCATTGTTTTTTATAAAGTTAGGATTACTTTGTGTTTCAAGAAACAGAATATCTTTATTCTTACCTGTAGCCCACACGAAACCTCCAACCATAGCCAGAGGCCAAAACCGGGGGCAATTCTGGATTAAATTGACCACCAAAGAAACTATCCATATGGAGGCACAAAGAATCCATTGGAAAAACATGCCTATGGAAAAATCAAATGCACACAACAGAGACCTTGGACTGCACGTGTGAATCTCTTGACATACTATCTTTTATATAAAATATTGAAAGGTGTCCACCTCCTTTGTGAATTTCAGGGAATCATGTTACAATGTATTTAAAAGATGTATTTTAGGGTGGGCTGTTACAACTCTGTCAACCTTTTCCTTACCATGTACTCTCTATACACAGCTGCAAAAGACACTTTGCTGGGTAAAGTTTACACAAGCTCTGATTCTCAAACACATGAAAATTCTGATGGGCTTCCAACAAGGAGGATATTCAGTTTCTGTGAACTTCTCCAACCACCCTAGTAGCAGCTGACACAGATGACTGCACAGGACAAAACTCAGGGCTTAGGCTTTTCCAACAATCCAGGACATTGAGGATGACAAAAGGTTTGGACAGATCTCTTCTGCAGTTGTAGATTCTCTAAGGGTCAAGCAGGTAGACCAGTTAACTTCATGCCAGCTGAGCTACAACTTTCCCTTTGAAGCCTAGCCTTGTCTTGTTAGGTCCACATTTGGCACAAAGACAGACAGGTTATATCCAGCCTGTAATACAGACACTATTATTGCACTAACACACTGGCAGACTTATTCATCTAGGGATCTGGTAACTGACTATGCTTCATATAAATGTGCAAATGCAACATGAAACTAGCACAATAAAGTGATAAAATTACAAGTAGGAAAGAGAAGTGATTGTTTCCTCTTACGAGTCACCAGTGATAAAGTGTGAAAATGTCAAATTTTGATTGTTTTTATGTTAGATCCACAACTGAAAGACAATACTCCAAAGTCCAACAACTTTTACAGGAAAAATACTACTGTATATACTTGAGAATCCCCACAAAGGTAGAGGACAAGACATTTCACTTTCCAGTATGAAATGCTCATGAAATGCACATCATCACTATTAAAGTGCACAACAACACGTAAGATGGCTTTTCTAAAGATGTGCCACATCCCAAACCAATATATTATTATTTTATACCCTAACAATACCAAAGAAAATTAAAATGTGCTCCATGGATCAAGGCTGAGATTATATTTATAACTCTAGCTATACAAACACTCATATTTGCTGATAAAATATTAGTCCCACTAGCAAAAAACCCAAAACCAAAATAAAAAAAAGACAAATAAGTTTACCATCACCAGTATCAAACTTCTTAACAGGCACAAAGTTTGTCCCGAATAGAAGGACAGCTACTGTGGAAGAGGTAAAGCCAATAGCTAGATCTGTTCCATTGCTGATGTTAAAGGTACTGTAAGCTTTCTCAATATTCATTTCCATTCTGAAGGTGCCTCTTTTTGCAGAATTTTTTGCTGCAGGTCCGGACAGATCCTGAAATCAGAGAGTGGAATTAAATGTGTGGAGTATTAAGTAATACCAGCCTGGTTCAGACATCTGAAAATTAAAGGGCCCTACATATCAATCTCTCAAAAGCTGTAAAGAACTGTAAAGGATACTGTAGAATCCCATGGAAAGCTGCCATAAAACATGAACAAAGTGTAACTTAAGAACAGATGCACAAGAAGCTACTATTGTGTTTCACAATCAACTTCACAGAAAAGCATTTCTGAATACATACAACAATGTGAACGTAGACATGCACTCAAAGGTTATGAGGACTTGAATCCAAGAGGCCTACGGGAAGTCCTGATGCTTTAGGGAGATGCTCTATCATAACATCCCTTATTCTTGTAGGCAAACTGGGGTGACACAGGGGTGTGTAAAAAAGCAAGGGTTAGACAAAATCTTAATTGGCATAAAAAACTAATAGGAATTTGCAGCCCTGCAGCCTAGAAGTCAGGAACACGAATAGAGATTCTATAGATGCCACAGTGAGATCAATAAAAGATCATAAGGCAGCTGATACAAAACATTAATAAAGGTTCATTTTTTCTGTGGGCAACAAAGGGAGAAGCTGCCTCTAAAGTTTCTTTGTTCATCCTACATAACTGTAATAAGAAAGGCAAATATTATTTTTTTCATCCCATATCTTCCTTTTTAAAGTGATCCTTTTTTTTTTTTAGTGGGAGATTCATCTTGCAGTTAAGTCAACAGAAGTACGATATATACTTTTGATATAGATTATGACTTTGACAGAAAAGGTGGCTCTGAGGACAACTATAGTAATATGATCTTTGCATACATAATCTTATCACCACACTTAAAAGACTATGTATAAGAAAAGTGTCTGGAAATTTAACTTCAAATGGCAACGGGATATTTAACATGCTATGAGTATAAAGGGGCACATTTATAGAGATACACATGCAATCCTGTTGTTGAAGTAATGCTATTTATACTGGACCGAGTGACAGCCTAATGCAGTTTGACATTCCCCAGTGTAGGTGGACTAGCTACTGCCTGGAGAAAAAAAAAATGAAATAGGATGGTGGAAATTTTGCCAAGTCTTGTAAAAAGCACTATGACTACACTCCGCACGAACTGAAGAGCCAAGCTGCTGCACATTGGTTCATCTGATTTTACCCACCAGTCTTACTTTCTCCAGAGTTCTTAGGACACTGAGAACTGAATCTGCTAAGGTTGCGCTTTTACCTACAGCTTCAGTGGGGCCATCAGTGTCAGCTGAAATTAATTATTTGCATTAGCAGGTGAAAAGTTCAATTCCACAAGTAATATAACTATTTAGTTTCTATATTTTTTTCTCCTTAAAAGGTGTCAGTACATTTTTAACCTGAGTACTTTGGAAAAACGCAAATGACATTTAAAAGACACATCATGAAGGTACAATGGCACAGGTATTTCCATCTGTCTTACTATCTTTTTCTCCTTTACTCTTCAACTTTCTTTAAGACTCTTCTATGAAGTATGTTTTGGCAGAGACCTGTAGACATTGAGCAGTTCAAATAATGATGCTGGGATTACTTCAAAGACTGACTTCACAGGCTAAGAGACACTGTGACACCACAGAATGGATTAAGACAGATAAAGGCTATCATCAGCTATCTTCATTCTATCAAACTTGACTTACTAAGTGAATAAATTTAATTTATTTAGTGGAGAAATGAGGCACAAGAGCTGGCTTTTGCACAGGAATAACTTCATGCTGTTAAGGACACAGAAATAAAGCTGATTGCATCCTTCATGAATACAGGACTCAGTACCCTAGCCTTCAAACAAATAAGTCATTGTGCAGATAAAATACTAAGGACCTTTACAATTTAAAGTGGTTTATCAGCCTGTTTGATTCTGTTAACGTACAGAGAAATGTTACTTTAAAAATATTTCAGTTTTGTTTCTACTAAGAGAAAATCTGTGTGCTGCGGGGTGATATACTTTTCTGCTTGCCTTTTATCTTCCAAAAATCTCCATATTCTACGCATGGAAGACTGCTGCACAATTGGAGAACCAGAATTACGACACCAGAAATGGAAAGGCAACACAACTTCCAATTAACCAAGAGTATGCTTCCTTCAGATTGCTTAAAACTATATAACCTTCCAAAGTTTGGGGCACTTGGCCCCAGATTTGGCTAAATTTCAGATCCAACTTTCAACTCCATTGTAATGCCTTCAAGAGAAAGCTTACCCAGACAAGTCCTCGAGCAACCTGTTCTAACTTTGATGATGCAATGCTTTAAGCAGGCAGTTGAACTAGATGACTTCCAGAGGTCCCTTCCAAGCTAAGTTATTCTATGATTGTATGATCCAATGTCAAGAGCCAATAATGAACTGGCACACAGCATTAAGGTGACTACATTTTTCTGCACGTGCTTGCACATACTTTGCACATCAGTTTCAGAGTTTGCTAAAAGTCTCTTCTCTACAACCCTGGGTATCGCCAAATTGACTTGCAGCATACTTGCCCCAAGAGGTTTAAAGCTACCAAATGCCAGACCAGAAGCACTTGCTGAAGCTGCTAAGATACTAGAACACAGTGGTTGTATCTGAAACTGGAAATGTTGTTATTGAAGGTTTTTTTTCACCAAGTAGCCCTTACTGAAGGGCACTTTGAGGTTCCCAAGCTACAGAGGAAATATAATGGAGATCTCTTGGCACACACTGCCCTTATCCTACTAACTTCACTGGTTTACCTCACTGGAAGGTTGCGAATTTTCACTTCAAAACAACTATCACTTCACATATTTTCTGTATTTTCACTGTTTCCTCAGAAATATGCCACCATTTTCTTCCGTTGGACAGAGACACAGCAAATTATGATGCTCATTTAATGCAACAGCACCGCATTGCTACAGTCTCTGCAGACAGGCACGAGATCAAGAAGCCTGCCCTCGAGAGCTTCCATCTCAGGGTAGATCCACGCTGCTGTCAAGATTTAAAATAAACTGTTTGCGCTAATTGAAACGGTATTTTCAGAGGCTGCACGTCACACAGCTTGTTTATTTGCAGGTTTCTGCTATCACCTCTTTGCATTAAGTGTGCATACTTTCATCCTTATTTTAGGAGACTTGCTAGTCCCGAGGTGGCTCAGAGCGATGTCCTCAGGTGACACCGTGACCCCTGACCAGCTGCCAGAGAAACATTTTTCCGTTTCCCCAAGAGGAACGCTTCTAAAGGAGCTTCTTCGGGCAGCACTTTCAGCGGGCGGCACCGCGCTCCAAGGCAAAGCGCGCCGCCGAGCTCTCGCCACAGGCGGA